TCTCTGACGAAGAAGCAGCATTGGAGCTCACTTGATTAGGAATTCAAAGAATTATATTTCAGTATCTTCAAAGGATTGACAGACAGATCAAGCAAAACACTGAGAAAATTAAGGAAAACACAGATAAAACCCTAGAATGGTTTCAGAAGAAAATACAAGAACAAAATGACAAAATAAATGAAAAATTAGAAATGATTCAAAAATCTACAGATCGAAATCTAGAAGATTAATACTGAATCTTCAGAAATTGATAGCACATTGAAATGGTAAAGGAGTAGAATTGAATCAAAGGAGGACAGAATTAATGAGATTGAAAACAAATACCTGAATACTTCTTTGGAAAGGGATAAGTCAGAGAAAAGATCAAAACCAAATGAAGAAAGCCTAAGGTTCATGTGGGATACCATCAAAAGAAATAATCTACGTGTAATAGGAATTCCAGAACAGCAAGAGAAAAATAAAAACACAGAAGATTCTCCAAAATTTGTCGGAGGAGAACTTCCCTAATATGATGAAAGATGAGAATATATCCATTTAGGAAGTCCAATGAACCCCAAACAGGATAAACCCAAAAAGAAAATCACCAAGACATATCATCATCAAACTCATCAAAACCAAAGACAAAGAATCTGAAAGCAGAACAGGAAGAAATGTAAAGTTACTTACAAAGGACACAACCAATAAGAATAATTTCTGCTTTCTCAGCAGAAATCATACAACTGGGAAGGCAGTAGGATGGTATATATATAAAGCCCTGAAAAAGAAAAATTTTCAACCAAGAACTACATACCCAGCAAAATTGTCCCTCATATATAATGGTGAAATTAGGACATTTCCAGATAAGCAGAAATTAAGGGAATTTGTTAAAACCAGACCAACCTTACAAGAGATACAAAAGGGAGTCCTTTGAACAGAGAACCAATAATAGCAAACAGCAACCGACCATTAATACATAAAATGACATAACCCGGAAACCAACACACCTGTGGACTTAACCCAAAGTAAACAAGTTTTCAGGATTGTAAACAGGGAACCAGAGACATCAGTTGGCAAATGAGGCCAACTACAAGCCAAAAAGTGGTAAAATACTATGAGGAAGTCGAGTGAGTTGTGAGAAAGAGTGGACTATTCTAAACTCAGGGAAAAAATTATAAATCACAGATAACCTGAAAGAAAAATAGTAAACCTTCACATCACAATAAAAAAGAGTAAGCACAAATATACAGCAAACACTAAAACAACAACAACAAAGAAAAATGATACCACAATTCATAAACTTGAGCTCAGCACAGAAAATTATATGGAACAAAGAAATCAGGAACACCATGAAAAAACACATAACAAAATGACATTAACCCATTTATACTTGTCGATAATTACACTGAATGTTATTGGATTAAATGCACCACTCAAGAGATGGCGATTTGCAGACTGGATAAGAAAATAGAACCCATCAATATGCTGTCTACAAGAGACACACCTTAGATACAAAGACAAAAACAGACTAACAATCCAAGACTGGAAGAAGATGTATCAAGCAAATGGCAACCAAAAAAGAGCAGGAGTGGCAATATTAATTTCTGATAAAATTGACTTTAAGACAAAAACTTCCATACAAGACAAAGAAGGATCTCAACATAAAACACAAATCACCACAACTGGTCCAATAAGCAGTGTGTTAGACTGGGTTCTCTAGAGGGACAAAACCAGTAAAGCTTATATAGACAAAAAGAAATTTTCTTAGGAAAATGGCTCACACACGTATAGAAGCTGGCAAGTCCAAAGTTCTTGGATCAAACATCAAGCTGGAAACTTTTCCCCACTCATGCAGCTGCAGGGGCTGAGGAGCTCAAGGTTGGCAGGCAACATGCTGGCTGTTGACACCAACGAATGACGAATCCAAGATCTCCAGGCCAAATATTGGATCATTCGCTCACAGACAGTTGTAGGCAGCACAACACAATCCCGATTCACAGAAGAGTCTCTTTCCTGAGGATGTCCATAAATATACTGGAAGCAGGCCACACCCCCAGGGAAGCTCCCTTTCAATGCATTGGCTGCTCAAAACATATACATCTGATCCCATCATTGGTACAGCCCACATCACAATTGCTTAAACAACCCAGAATTGTGGTCCAGCCAAGTTGACACACAGCTCCAGCTGTCAAAAGCAACATCACAATACATGGAGAAAGACTGAAGTTGTCAAAGACTTCATATTACTTGGTTCCACAATCAACACCAAAGGAAGCAGAAGTCAAAACATCAGACTGTGTATTGCACTGGGAAAATACGCTGCACAAGACGTCTTTCACGTGCTGAACGCAAAGATGTCTCCTTGAAGATTGTGGTGCGCCTAACCCAAGCCATGGTATTTTCAATCGCCTCATATGCATGTGAGAGCTGGACAGTGAACAAGGAAGACTGAAGAAGAGTTGATGTTTTTGAGTTGTGTTGAGGAAGAATGCTGAAAGTACTAGACTGCCAGAAGTCTAGTACAAATTGTCCTAGAAGTGCAGCCGGAATGCTCCTTGGAAGCAAGAATGGCCAGACTTTGTCTCACATATTTTGGTCATGTTATCAGATGGGACCATTCCTTGGAGAAGGATATCATGATTAGGAAAGTGGAGGGTCAACGAAAAAAAGAGAAGGCCCCGAACAAGGTGATTTGACATGGTGGCCACAACAAACAAGGTGTGGCAAGGATTGTGAGGCTGGCACTGGACCAAGCAGTGTTTTGTTCTGATGTACATGGGATGGCTGTAAGTCAGAGCTGACTCAACGGCACCTAACGACAACATAAGAAGGATTTGGGAGCCAATTCAGTGGAACCCTGACTAGATGTCTTGGTTTTCTAGTGCTTTTGTAACAGAAATACCACAAATGGAAATACCACAAATGGAAGGTTTTAACAAACAAGAATTTATTCTTTCACAATTTAGGAGGCTAGAAGTCCAAATTCAGAGTACCAGCTCTAGAGGCTGAGTGAAGGCCCTTCAACCTTGGGCTTCAGCTCTACCTCTTAATCCAGTCCCGCTTGGGCTGAAACCTTCTTTGTAACTCAGGCAGCTACTAGCTGGTGAGGCTGGTAAACCCACAGTCAGCAAATAAAATGCCACAATCCCAAAATCAACTGGAAAGAAACACAGCGAATCATTGGTTCAAGTCCAGGAAAAATCTCAAGATCAGCAGACAACATGGCAGGCCAGTGAGATGAAGACTTGGCCAAATGCAGGGTCCAAATGTGACGAAAAGCTAGAGATCTTTCACACAGCTTCTCCTTATATTCTGAAAACGCCACACACATATAAGCTGCTCACAGCAGATTCTACTATGTAGATGATTACAGTTTCATGGGGAATTATTACATCCCCCTGCCCAGCCAAGTTGACATACAACCTTTATCTACCACACTAGCCAAAGAAGGGGCAATTTGAGCATCTAAATAAGTAAGTGCAATGGATTGAATCACATCAATTATGTTAAAATCGTGTGCATATTAACACCAAACAACAAAACAATTTTTAAAAATAAGATACCCTTAGAGAAAATGAGGGAAACAACTTATTTTGAAAAATGGTAAATTACAGAATCATGCATCCATTTTTACTGTACAAACTCTATCTCAGGGTAAACAGTTTATGAAGACAATCTTTATGGACGGATCCCAGCTAATACATGGTAGTTGTAAAGAAAGACCTACATGAATGCTATTTTGTAACTCAATGCATAGAGGCAAATAGCTACTAAAACTTTTAGGTGAAAAGTTCATGGAAACCTTTGTAATGAATAGTATGGAAAACACCTTCACTTATTGATCAATCTTAACATCCAGAAACAGAGAGCCAGACGTTTGTGCTTCGTGAGGGCTTGCAATGAGAAATACATAACACCATTTGCCAGAAAATCAAACCTGATGTAATCAAGCTTCTAGTTCTCACTTCCATTCTTCAGGATATTCAGCAACAGAGAAATATTTTAAATGATCCCACGGGAATCCACAACAAAATCCAGATGTGGGAAACTGTACAAGGTGAACTACTCAGTTTCTTCAACTAATAAATTGCCAAAATGAAGGGGAATAAAGAGGGAAATCTGTATAGCTTAAAAGAGACTGAAGAGACATATTTTAAAAATGTATAATTTGTAGCTTTTCTTGAACTCTGATTTGAACATTTCACCTTTAAAAAAAATATGAAACAACTGGGGAAATATTGAATACTGTGTGAATGTTTCATGCCATTAAAAATTACTAATTTTTATAAGGTGCATTAATGGTGTCTAGGATTTGCTTCAAAACAATCCAGAAGTAGGTGAAGGTTCATGCTCAGTTCAGCAACACATATACAGAAGTAGATGAAGGTTAGAAGATTGGCCACATGTTGATAATCGTTGAAGTTAGGAAATAGAACATGAAGTTTCATTATATTATTCTCTTTCATTTTAAATATGTTCATGATTTTCCATAATAAATGTATTTTAAAAGGTAAAACAATGGTGTCATGGGGGGAAGGGTGGTATCAGAATAGTATCTCTCAAAGAAAGTTACTTTAGGGAGTGATACTTAAGATTTCAGAAGAATCATAGAACATTACTTATTTTATACAGAATAAGACTATGTCTTGCTGGTGCAGTTCGTTTTACTGAAAGCCCACACCAATCCTACCACTTGGGAGAATAAACTCAGCTTCTAAAATGACCCCCCCCTTTTTTTTTCCTGGGGCAGTACTAGAGCTGTAATCAGGTCTGTCATCTTCATTCTGGGACCATATTTGAAAATTCCTTCTTTGAAGTTACACAAGTAGTTACCAGAACACTTGCTTGTATTATTTACCCCTAATCAGATGGCTATTACCAGAAAAATGAAAAATAGCAGATGTTAGTGAGGATGTGGAGAAATTAGTACTTTACTGAGTGGATATTTATGTAATCCCCATTTATTTTATGTTCAATACATATTTTAAAAATTGTTCAGATAAAACTTCAGATTTTCCTTTCAGGTGCGGTGTCTGAAAGACTATGGAGAATTTGAAGTTGATGATTGCACTTTTGTTGTATTAAAAAAAAACAGCCAGGTATTTATTTATCTTAAAATACTGTACTTTAACTGTTGTGAGGATGTTGACTGAAGGAAATGTTGGAATCAGTAGCAAAATAAATACCTTGTGATGACAGGTTAGACGTTATGTTTAATATAGATCACTTTGGTTTGTACATTTTCTAAATATTAAGATGGGAAGCAAATATATAGTAAGAAAAGATTAAATAATTTACTAGTATGTTGCTTGTGTTTAATGCTAAGTATTTTCCAGAGAAATTACCACATTGGGCTTCATTCTAGTTAAGTAGTAGAACATTATTCAGAGGCTGTTAAACTGGATTAAGCTGCTTCTGTGAATTACTAATGTCTGAAATAGGTGTTGAGCACTCATTTTCAACTTATACTTCATTTTATAAATGTTAGTTCTTTATTAGACAGTGATACTGATAAAAAGAATTCTAGGCATTTAGCATATACCTTAGTTATCTAGTACTGCCATAACAAAAATAACACAAGTGTATAGTTTTAACAAACAAATTTATTTTCTTACATTTAGGTGGCTAGAAGTTCTTTCAGAAACATTGTCACTATTGTTTAAAAAGAATACTCATATTCAAATCTTAGAAGACTTAAAGAAGAAATTGTTTCTTCTATTGGTCTTCATAATGAACTCTTACACCATTTATATTCCTGTTGTCCAAAAATCTCACCTACCTGGATATTTTTGTGCATAAATAAAACATACAAACACCAGGGGAAAAAATATAATTCAGATATTTTTAATTGAATGTAACTTAAGTAAACTATATAATTCATGGAAATCTGATTAAGAATCAGAATTCTGTACAGCTCTATGTGGCATCAATTTGAGTTGATTAAAACAATAAATACAGCAGATTTAATTATACATTACCCATTGCTTTTGAGTCAATCCTGACTTACAGCTGTTGGAATTTGAAAAATGTAAATAATCAATTGCTGCTTTTATTGATGTAAAATGTAATCTAATAATTTGTTTTCCAGTAATTACTCTTCATCTCCCTTTTCTCTTTTTCTTCTTAGCATTTTTTACCTCGTTGGAAGTGTGAACACTTAATCAGACAAGGCATTCTGGAGCATGTACTATCATAGCTGTGCACTGAGACTGAGCCCAGCTCACAGAGATATATGCACTTCTCTTTGTCTCTCTGGCTTCCCACCTCTTTGAAATTAAGTTACAGATGTTCTTAAAGTATAACCAAGAATACTCGGGTAAAGATCATCACATATCACATGCTAACCTTTAAGGACTTTCTTTTTTTAATGTTATACATAATTCCTCCTTTTTGTAATAAGCTCTATCCATAATTATAACATTCCTGTACCGCTATTACACTGTGTTGGTTTTTTGTTTTTTTTTTAAATACATGCTAACATTTATTACATTGGAATCTATTCTTTAAATAATGAGAGTTACACTTGGGCTGTATATAAAAAAGCAAACCGTGATGCATCTGTGTTGTTTTTTGGCAGTGTGTGCTGTGAAGAATGCTGTGGCGCTGTGATGAAGTTCAAGCCAGGGAGCCCAAAATTTGGGAGTATGTATTACTGAGTCACACAATGTGGTAGTTAAAGTTATGTGTCAACTTGGCTGAGCCTGATTTTGAGTGGCTGGGCAGCTGGATGTAGTTATTCCTTATGATGAGATTGGTAATTAACTCCATGGTGGAATCTCCTGGAGCAACTGAGTAGCTACTTTAGGGATGTGGTCTGCTTCTAGTGTGGAAGAAGTTTTGAGAAAGATTTCTGCAGCTTTTTGGCATGTTTGGACCCTACAGGTAGCTGAATCTTCATTTAGCAGGCTGATATGTTTCCTGCTGATCTTTGGACTATCTCTGGACTTGAACTAGTGACTTGGCGTGTTGTTTGGTAATATTGGGACTGTCCCATTTCATTGGTCAGCGTTGGGCTTGTCAGCCTCAGCAGCCAGAAGCTGCCTGAGTGAAGAGACACCTCTAGCTTCAGTGGACCAGGTCCTTCTCAAAATTAAATTTTTATGTGCTTCAAAAGACTTCTCCAAAAGAGCCAAGACTCTCTTCTTTCTCTTTCTCCAAAAGAGTCCAAAGAGAGCCTAGAGATTGAGAAAAAATATTTGGCAGTAACATATCTGACAAGGGACTCACCTCTAGCATTTATAGAAAACTTCAACACCTCCACAACAAGAAGAAAAAGAATCCAGTTTAAAAATGGGCAGAAGACATGAACAGACACTTCACCAAAGAGTATATTCAGGCAGCCAACAAACATATGAAGAAATGCTCACGATCGTTAGCCATTAAAGAGATGCAAATCAAAACAACAATGAGATACCATCTTGCCCCAGCACTAGTAGCAAAGTTCAACAAGAGAGAAAATAAATGCTGGCAAGAATGTGGAGAGATTGGGACTCTCATAAATTGCTGATGGAACTTTCAAATGGTACAACCACTGTGGAAAACATTATGGCAATTCCTTAAAAAGTTGGAATTAGAAATACCATTTGAGGTTCTGACAAAGTGGTGGACTAGGCAGAAAGACTACACAGACCCTCTTCAACAAAGAAAAGGGAAATCAATTTACACAAACACAGAAGATAATCCTGGACCCCTGAGCCTTGAAGGAAAGGATATAGAGGTGGACTGAACCTCAACTAGCAGAAGAATTTGCGTGAGAATAACAAAAAAGGAGACGTATGGAGCTGCGGTCTGGCAGCGATCCTGAGCAATCCTGACGGCACAGAGAGCTTGAAGATTCCCGAATGGTGGTAGGACTTAAGAATTAACCTAGAAATCACCCTGCTAGCCAGGGACTGCATGGAGGATTGTGCACGGTGGCTGGGGAACAAATGTAGAAGGTGAAGAGAAAGGTGGGCTGAGCTGTGGATTTTTGCCGGTCCGGAGGGTGCCGCCATTTTGTAGGTTTAGAAAGCAGCTTGACTATTTTGGATATTTAAAGAGACAGCGCTCTCGCAGATTCCTGGGGCTTAAGAACACGTTCTGCTTTCCAGCAACCCCAAGGACAATCGGGACCTGCAAGACTGACAAGTTTTTTGAAGGTTATTCTATTGTAATTTATGTCTAATTGAGTGGGAGACAACAACAGTCCCCATAAGGCACAACTAGACCCACACCTCCTGCAACTTCACTTACTGAGCAACAGCCACTACCTCCTTCTCCACCAACGGGCCAACGATAAAAAACCACCAAGAAGAGCCGGAATCACCCTTGACTGCTCTTCACAAACAGTTAACAGAGATCTAAATACAACAACGCCACGATGCCTCGGAAAAAACAGACCATCACAATCCACACAAAGAAGGAGGATATAACATTGTGGTCTTTCTCTGTGGTTGGCATAGGGGCTTAACTAGGTCACCGTGTTCTGCCAGAACAGATGGGGTGGTCTAGGCCTGAAGCCTTTCAGTTGAAACAGTATGGGATGGTCTAGACCTGTAGCATAAAGGGAAAAAAAGACAAACTTTATGGGGGTATCAGCGTGTCAAGATGGAGTTAGTTCAGCTATCTGGCTCATCACAATAGAACTAGTTGTAGAACACATTTCCCAACTAGAAGACAAATCCCTGGACGCCAGCCTGTACGAAGAAAAATCAGAACAAAAATTTAAGGGAAATGAAGAGAACCTGAGAGTTATATGGGATGACATGAAAAGAAACAACATATGTCTCATTGGAATTACAGAACAAGAAGAGGCGAGAAAAACCACTGAGAAAATTGTGGAAGACCTACTGACAGAAAACTTCCCCCCCGTCATGAAGGAAGAAAAGATATATTTGTCCAAGAAGCTCATAGAACCCCACACAAGATAGATCCCAAGTGAAAAAGACTGAGGCATATTATAATCAAACTCTCCAAAACCAAAGACAAAGAAAAAATTGGGGGAACTGCTTGGGAGAAAAGAAATATTACTTATAATAATCAAAGAGTTAGGCTGAGTTCTGATTACTCAGTAGAAATCATGCAGGCAAGAAGGCAGTGGGATGGTGTGATGGTTATGTTTGTATGTCAACTTGGGTAGGTCTAGTTGAGTGGCTGAGCAGCTGGATGTAGTATTCCCCAAAATAAGACTGGTAATCAACTCCATGGTGAAATCTACTGGGAGCAGCTGAGTAGCTGCCTTTGGGTATGTGGTTTGTTTCCTGTATATAAGCAGAAGCTTTGAGAATGTTCTCTAGCCTATGGCACGCTTGGACTCTGCATGTAGCCATGTCATTGCTCAGCAGCCTGCTATGCACTTCCAACCTTGGGACTTACAATGGACTTAAGTTAATGGCCTGCTGTGTGGTTTTGTAACATTGGGACTGTGCCTTTTTACTTGTCAACCTTGGGGCTTCTCAGCCTCAGCAGCCTGCAGCTGTCTGAGTGAAGAAACGCCTCTAGCTCCAGTAGACTGGGAGCAGGAGGCAGAGCTGGAATCCAAGGTTGAGGGGCTTTCTCCCAGCCCATAGAGCCTGGCACTTCGAACTTGGACTTAAAACCTCTAAATTGTAAGAGTAAACTCCTGTTTGTTAAGGCCATCCCATTTGTGGTATATTTCTGTGAGAGGGCACTGGGTAACCAGAACAGACGGCATATATAAAATACTGAAGGAAAAGAACTTCCAACCAAGAATCCTATATGCAGCCAAATTATCCATCAAATATGAGAGCGAAATCAAGGTATTCTCAGACAAACAGAAATTAAGGGACTTTGGGAAAACCAGACCAACCCTACAAGAAATTCTTAAGGAAGTCCTTCAAATAGAGAACCCACAACAGAGATCAACAAAATCAGGATATGTCCCATCAACACTAAAACCAAATCATAAATAGAAACTAAAAAGAAGACCATGAAACAGTGTACACTAAAAATCAAGGAAGCCAATCTGCACACAACAGCAACTCACCTATTGGAATAAAACTTATAGGTGCAAACTTCCAGGAGGAGAGGAAAACAAGACAATGTCCTCATAGAATGCACTGTTCTAAAAATGTGGAGACAAGAATTCACTCCAAGGTGACCACAGAGAAAAGTAACAATCCCCCTAAGCAAATCTAGAAAGAAGGAAAACATGCAGGTTTAATAAGCACAAAACCAACAATGAAGAAAAGAGAGAATGCATTAACCAACAAACCGAACTCAGCACAGAGAAATATATGGACCAAAGAAACACCACCAACACGACAAAGAAACACAATAGAGTGACAACAATCATTTCATACCTATAACGCAATGTGAATGGACTAAATGCATCTATCAAGAGAAAGAGAGTGGCAGACTGGATAAGAAAAAGAAGACCTTTCAATATGCTATCTACAAGAGACTCACCTTAGACACAAAGATAAAAACAAATTAAGAGTTAAGGGATGGAAAAAAGTATACCAATTCAATGCACATTAAGAAAGAGCAGGAGTGGCTACATTGATTTCTGACAAAATAGACATTAGGGTGAAAAACATCATAAGAGGTAAAGAAGGACATAATATGATGTTTCAAGGGGTCAATTGACAAAGAAGACTTTACAAAAATAAATATTTATGGACCCAATAAAAGTGCTCCAAAATATGTGAAAGAGATATTAACTGAATTAAAAGTGACAATAGACAACTCTACAATAGTAGTATGAGACTTTAACACACCACTTTCAAAGAGGAACTGATCAACTAGAAAAAAACTCAGATACAGAAGAACTCAACAATACAATCAACTAACTTTACCTCATAGACATATACAGAGCATTTCACCCAACAGAAGAACAATTCACATTCTTCTCCAGTGCACATGGATCTTTCTCCAGAATAGACCATATGTTAAGACATAAAACAAGCCTCAATAAATTAAAAAAACATTGGCATACTACAAAGCATCTTCTCAGACCAAAATACTATAAAATTAGAATTTAATAATATGAAGAGCAAAGAAAAAGCATCAAACATACGGAAGCTGAACAACTCACTGCTCAAAAACTACTGGGTAATAGATAAAAATTGAAATAAAAGAATTCCTAGGAACAAATGAGAATGAAGATACATCATACCAAAACCTATGGGACACAGCAAAAGCAGTACTCAGAGGACAATTTATAGCAATAAATGCATACATCAAAAAAGAGGAAAG